GTGTGGGACGTAGAATAAGTTATGGTGTTGACGATCCCGTAGCAGTGTGAGAATTCAGGGCTGACTTGTTGTGGGATCCAAGCAAGGACTAGTTTAGAGAATTCAGACAACTGCAGAGGTATGTGTAACTGTCGATATTTATCAATGTTGTATTTATTTGGTGTGTTGATACAATGTGAGATATCTAGTAGGGAATTACTCGACTAACTATAAATTTGATTTTATTCATGTAGGGAGAAGTCAACCCGGATAGAAGATCACAAGAGGCTATCAAGAAGATTCAGTGTTGTGCATATATAATCTGGTACTGTGTTGTGACGAACATCTACCATGCTGTGCCCTAGCCTATGAAGGGAGATCGTTCTGTTCCCTATAAAGATGCCCATATGTTCAAGTCAACTTTGTTCTGTTCAATGTTCTTAATTTAAGTGTTCACTTTTCATCAATATTAAATTAATTGTGTTAACTCGAGATCATTATTTAACCTCGGCACGAAAGATCATTACAACATGTGATTCTGAAGGAGAAAAATAAAAGCATGATTAAGCCGATCAAGAACGCTTATAGACAATTTTCAATAACACTTTAATAAAAACGCAAGCATCTACATAACTACATGTGTTATAGTAACATGCTTGCGCTATTACTAGGTACGAATGACATGCTGGAGCTATAACTATGTACAAATTATATCTTAAAGCTGTAGCTAAAAGTTTGCGTGACGTCCGAGAAATATGAAGCTATAGGCCTAATGGTGACATGATAGAGCCATGAATGGGTATGTATATGGAAAACAATTCCTATATGATGCAGCCCTGGGCTATACCGTCGATGGTGGCGGGGCTTTGACCCAGGTCTCGGCCTACCTCTGGGGTAGTTCCTGAGTCTCCATTTCATACTGACTCGCCTGCTGAGCGGTGGCGATTACATCAAAGCAATGAAGGTTAGGTGTGCGCTCTGCTCTCCCAACGCAATTGTGCGGGCGCAGAGGTGGCGTCGTTGCCTCATTGGGCCACATGTCTCAGGTCTATCCCGTATAGAGCCTGGTATCAGGGTGAGGCGTCATGATAACGTCTGTAAATTTATCTCAGGTCGGTTGCGACGAAGCTATACGGTAGTCCAGGAGCCCATGCTGCCCTACGAGGGTATCTTCCTCAAACCAGACATGGTTATCTGGAAGCCTGGAGAGTCCAGCGCCAATCTGCTTGATACACGGGTGGTGTCTGACAGCTTTGGTTTGACTATGGTACATGCCCGGAAATGTTTGACTATGGCTCGTGTCCGGAAAGTTGCCAGGTAGACACCCTCCAGGTCAGGCAGGGCGTGTTTGGCATCACCGGCTCTTTGTCAATACAAATTTAAAAATCGGCCTCAGATATGCAAAATCGAACGAAGCAAAATCGAAAAAAATTGTCACGAGCTAAACATCACCGTTGGGACGTTAGTTTTGTATATTCAAAGTTTCATTCGAATCTGTTCAGTATTTTAGAAGAAATTTCTTGGTCACTGAAAATTTTGGCCCGAATTGCCGTATAATTCACGAATGAAGATGAAATGGGAAAATTTTCACGAGCTAAACATCACCGTTTGGTCTGATGAATAAGTGTATCAAGTTTCATCGAGCTGAGTTCATTAGTTCGGGTGATAATCCTTGATCTCTGAATTTGGAAATTGGCCATGAGACCGGCCGCGAGTTCGGCAGTAGATTTGTCCGAGACCTTGATCTTTCGGGCAGCTTCTTTAGTTAAAGCATTTTCAGGTGCAGCCAAAATTTGTAGTGCAACTTTTGAACGTCCATGAAGCATACAAAGTTATTTCTTTTGAAACTTTCCATCGAATCCCTGAAATTAATGAACTGTTCAAACATCTTCAAGCCGCAACCACCTATAGTAAGAAATTACCAACTCTCGTACCACGCATTGCCTCATTTACTTGCTGCCCATGGTGATGAGCATGCGTGCCTATAAATTTAGATTAATTCAGATTTGAACCGGCAGCCGAAGCAGTAACGTACCTCCTATGCCTGCCTGCGACCTGATCGCTGGCCATGTAGCTTCGTAAACTTCAGGCTTCAAACGCAATTAGATTTCGCATAAATTCTGTTATCTAAAGTATTAAATTCGGGTTAGATTGGTAATGGCTGTGGTCTCTGTTGACGGCATCTATGACTATAAAACGAACCAGGTTATCCGAACTCAGCGGAACATATTTAATAATGCCGAGTGGCCAGTGATTCCTCCAACACTTTTTAGCCTTCAACAAAAAAACCTCGTTTAAATTTAAAGTGGCCTTCACTGACGCCGTATCCGATGTTCTTGCAGGTTCTGAATGTAGTGGCCTGCCAGCGTCTCCGGAAATGGTCCGATAAATATTGGACTCTACGCCAACGAGAATTTCCGTGGGTCATTGCAGCTTTCGTATTGAATTTATCTATCTGGGGTGGATTCGGGTCGTCTTTCAGAGTAAGAAGCATGGCTGGAGTAATGGGTAGCGGACCCTGTGGGTCACACGACAACTCCCACATAGGAGTGTTGTTAACGAACGCAGTCGATTGTTGGAGTAGAAAATTCATCGCGACTTAGTCTTTTTGCCAAGTTGAAGAATTGTTGCATCCAATACCCTTCTTATCGCGCCTATCTTTCTCTCCAAAACGCCCCCGAAGTGACTGGCGTTTGGGCAATTTAAATGTCACTCCAGGTCTCTGAAGCAGTGTTCGGTTTGAATTTAGTTGAGAGAAATTGAAGATTCGGATTGGTTGCGGGAGCCAACTAAATTTGTACTATCGCTGTACCTGTGTTTGCACGTTCCCCTGATTGCAATGAAGCGCCATAATGAGTGTTTGAGGCTGTAAGTACGAAGATGGACGGCTCGTGAAGATGGACACAACATGAGTAATGCCTATACTTTTTTCGTTGCGCAATTGCGTCGCGTGTTAGCGCTATCCAAGATGAGAAATAGGCCGAAGACGTCCAGCTGTATTCTAGACGAGTCTGTGGAAGGTTTGCCATAAGATGTTCTTGCGGTCGAGATGTGAGCGTTCTACACGTCACGTTCTGATTGATGACGCATCTGGTCAATTTTCGGGTGTATTTTCGACGTGGAAGCCTCTTTCCTGGGGGGCGCCTAACGTAAGGCGCCTTCCTTGGTGCTGAACTAATTTGTGTGCATGTCTGATGATCAAGATATATATTCGATTAGTTACTGGCAAGATGACGGGAAATTTGTAATCGATTGGAATTTCCAATCTTAAAACGGCCACCGACCTTACAATTTACGTCGTTACAATTTATAAACGTCGGAAATTTCCAATAGCATAGCTATGTCTAGTCCAGTGGTTACCAAAGTGGGCGGTGAAAAGATCTGGGAGGTGGTGAGGAAGAAGGTGGAAAGGATAGGGGGGGAAATTCCGAAATTCTAACGCTTGTTTGACGATTTGTACACAACTCGTGCAGCACACGACTCCCAGCAATGGGATTTTCCACCTAAATTTGTTTTTCTAACCTCTCTTAGGTTTATTTACATCTCCGACAAATTTACGGCTGGACTCGCGGCCGGTCTCATGGCCAATTTCCAAATACTACGATCAAGGAATATCTCCCAAACTAATGAACGTAATTTGATGAAACTCGATACACGTATTCATTATACCTTACGGTGATGTTAGGCTCGTGAAAAATTTTTTTTTTATTTTGCCTTCATTCCTGAGTTATAGGGCGATAAGGGCCGAAATTCGCAGCGATCAAGGAATTTCTTCCAAACTACTGAACATGCAGATTTGAATGAAATTTTGATCACACATTCCTAACTACCGAACGGTGATGTTGAGCTCGTGAAAATATTTTCGATTTTGCCTTCGTTCGCGAGTTTTTTTTTTTCATTTCACCTTCATTCGTGATTTAACCAAGAGCCGGATACGGATAGCCGTATAACTGGCTAACGAAGGAAAAATCTAAAAAAAATTGTCAGGAGCTAAATATCACCGTTGCTGAGGTTATGTATTTATATATTAAATTTCGTTCAAATCTGTTGAATTTCTTGATCACTGCGAACTTGAGTAAGCATTGCTGTTTAAGTTAAGCCGGCAGGTCGAAATGCCGGTCTTTTCTCCTTATATCCCTATAACCCGCGAACGATGGCAAAATAGAAAAAATTATCACGAGCTAAACATCACCGTTGAGAGGTTAGGTATTTATATAAAACGTTTCGCTTAAATCTGTTCTGTAATTCATAAGAAATTTCTTGATCACCGCGAATTTGAGCGACAAATTACCTATCGATAGGGGCCGAATAAAGAAGTGTGAAATCACGAAAGTTGTTGAAATAAAAAATAAATAAAAAACTCATTAGCGAAAGCAAAATCGAAAAAATTGTCACGAGCTCAACATCACCGTTCAGTAGTTAGGAATGTATAATCAAAATTTCGTTCGAATCTGTTTAGTATGGTACCTGCCTATGGTTTAGTATGGTATCTGCCTTGTATGGTACCACTGTAGCTGTGAGCAAATAGATGACCAAGCCTACAACTTAATTTGTGATGATACTGGAAAAACTGACCCACTTTTCCACTATTTCTGCTCCAAGCAATGTAATAAGCCGGCGTCTAAGTTTCTTAGAAGCCTTATCGAGCTGGAGTCTGAAGTGCAGAAGCTGTCAGGTAAAGTTGCATGCAAAGAGGACGCTATATACCAACTTCACTATAGTGGAACAGTAGCAGTAACCGTGCTTTAATCGCTGAACCGAGTGATGAGAAGTAAGCATCTGCACTGGCAACAAAGAAACTGTGATCATCACCAGAATGGACCGAATCACCACATGAGTGCGACTTGTCCGCGTAACTTGAAAGAACGAAGTCCTTCAGCGCGAAACGCATCACGATTTTCTGAACCAGTAACAAGCCTACTACTCTTATAATGTACCCTCTACCTTATTAAACAATTAGTTTTATTAGCCTTGACACTTTGTTCACGTGCAATTTTTTTGTACATGTATTTCATTGTGAATAATGCATCTTGGTATTTCAGGTGACAGTAGCGACCCACATGACCGAGCTGAAGGGTTACCTTGACTACCTCTGCAAATCCACCAACATGAAGTGCCTGACACCTGCACGTGCGCTTCAAGGCTTCGGGGATTATATGGCCGCTAACTTGTACGCGCGCTCCATCTTCGGCGAGGACGCGCTTGCCAACCTCAGCATCGAGACGCCGCTCAATTCCAAGGACAACTCTGTTGTGGGTCACATCCGCATCAGGGCCAAGAGCCAGGTGGGGCAGCTCGAGTCTTAGAATAGAATGGAATTGTCGGCACTGAAGAAATAGGCTCATGGCCTGTTGCCGATTCCTGTACTTTTCGTGACTTGATTCCACAAGGGATCTGGCTTTCTGAATCTGATCTTTCCATAACTGACGATTGATTGAGGTAGCTGCTGGATTCATTGCTTGGCTCGTAAGCTGCTAGGCATTTTAAGACTGAACATATGTTCCTGCATAGCTTCGTCTAGTCTGTTCTTGAAGGCGTTCATACTCGGAGCGTCAACGATGCTGTCTTGCTATTTTGTCCTCGGTTACTTTGTACGTCTTCAATGCTGTTCATATCTAAAGGCCGATATTTTTGCATATGTTTCCGATACTTGGAGTTAAACAAGAACTTCATCTATTTTTGTGACGCAAGTTCAGAGACAGCAGTATTGACTTTAGTGATGCTTCGGTGAATGAGATTCGTGTTTTTCTTTTTTTTTTTTGGTGAGAAAATTAGTTGGAATTTTGAAGGGATCGTAGTTATGGCTAAGTATGCAATTTATTATTAAATGCGTCTAGAACAGAAATTCAATATAAATCAATTTCAAACATCGAGATATAGAGTGGCCAGTAACATTTCTGACGTTAGGAGCTTCGGTTTAAAGGTGGCTCTCACTTCTTGAATAAAGCTAAATAACTTTGCCTACTGGAACATGAAGGTGTGTGTGTAAATGTCAACTCTATGTGATAAACTAGTAAATAAGATTTGTTTATTGACGATTTCGTTCATAATACACTACTAGCATTTGCTTGAAACATATTATTGTTTTTTACTTGTTAATTATTATTATATTTTATTATTATTCTTTATTTGGAAATTCGCAAGACAAAACTGCAAATTACATATGTTGTTCTTTTAATAGGCATAAAATTCAATTAGCTACGGCTTGTGAAGTAAGTATATATATATTTTTTTGTGTTCGAGCACGTGGAATTACTCAATTAATTATTTTTAATTCGTATCGTTAGGAAAACAGCTAACTTTGCTAGATTTTCTCGAGCTTTTCACATGTGTTCTTTAATGCCTGTTGTTGTTAATTCGCTTCAGTTATTATTTTAGAACGTTTATTTATACTACTTTTGAATGGTGATTATATAGCTAAGGAAAGATGCTCTATTTTGATGCTATATACGTTGTCTGTGCAGGGCATGGCCGTCAGCCTGGGAGACAAGATCAACAAGGTGCAGAAGGCCACACTGAAGACTGCCACCGCCTGAACCAAGAGTGCACGACACCCATAACTACGTATTCCTGGACTCCCATAGCTATTTTACGACGCCTAATATATCATATGGTTACGTACGCTAGCATCGTTGTTAATGAACTGCTTTTATGTTGAGTTGGGATAGCATGGGACCAGCTCTCTTGTTCTTGCTTTGGCTCTCCGAACAATTTTTTCGTGCATTCCAAGAAACTGATTTCTGTTTATTTGTTCTCATTAGAATGAAGTGTTGCGCTCTGGAGGCACTGAAAGATTTCTCTACCATTTGCTTGGGGTATCCTCTATCATTTAAAACTAAAATCCCATGCCATTTTGATGTTATGCCATAGTGTGTCAGCTCTCAGTAAATGGTACTCGTTTCTCTTACCTAATTGGTATATTCATTAGCTTTTTCGATTTATTTCTGTGCGTTATTGCAGCAATTTGCCACTTGTTGGTATCAAAGGGGAACGTTTGTTTTTGTATTCTTCCCTTCACTGTTCCACTTAAAGTTTCTTCACTAAGAATGTGCGTCTAAACGATATTGCAAGTGTTGAAGTGGCAAATAGATATCGATTAGAAGAACATGCATTGATTGGTAGCTTTTGTATGGGTGTTTAACTTTGAGAAAATTGTAACATTTTGCGATTCTTTCACGTTCCATTGCCTCAAAAATGTTATTCCTTGGTATAAAAACTGATGGCTGCGGATAACAACTATTTGAAAATTGAAGAATCGTGCACAGGTAAGGATTTTTCACATCAACCAGAAATTGATTGAGATGAATGAAGAGTGCAATCGAAGTGAACGCCACCCTAAATAAAGTATGCCGAGTACTTGCATGTTGAATGCGCTTGAGCGCTTTGATATCTACGCCAATACTTGTAATAGGTATGAAGGTCGGTTTCAAAACTTACCGCTGTGCACACAAAATATTATCGGAATTCTGCCCAAACTTTTATTTCTCTATTTCTATTAATTCGCGGTTACAGTCTGCATGCTTCGAGAAGTTTGCCGTCCGCCTTTTACTCCAAAAGTTTACGCAGAATTTCACTTCAATTTTCAATATTCGATTTGTGTGCTCATTACTGCGTTGGGAACAAAAGAAAAACACCACTGTCGATCGCGTGTAGTCCGCACCCTCAGATATTAGGTAACCTCTACATGGTGTGCGAGAGCTCATTTGCCGCCATACATTATCCGGCTCACTTCATTAGTACTGTTTTGGAGTTTATTTTATATTCTTTTGGAATATCTGTTGAAATAAAATAATGCATTATATATGTCCGGCTTTTAGTAACCGGTTTCTCGAATGAACTTAATGTGTTGGTTGAATGAGACGTGAACGTGAAAATCATGCGAGTGAGTTGGGGTCGCTCAAAGATTTTGCATTTGCAAACCCGTAGTTGGATGAACGATAGAGCTTCTGAATCTCACATTATCAGTTCAAGTTCTCGCAATTGAATTGTATTTAGCTTGGGGTTACCAGTTATAATGGACGTCCATCGAGTAACATTCATTGGAATTTTGTAACATTCAATTAGAAAGTAGTTGAGAAGTAGTTCTGAACAGGATGTGGGAAGTGATATCTACATGCCGGTGTAAGATCAACTAACAATATTCACTGAAAGTTTGATCATCATATAGGACATAAAAATGCAGTTGATACCCCGCAGAATATTGATAACTGTGCTGGCTTCCATTCATTAACCGGAAACTATCCCAGCTCGCCGTTAGAAAAGCCCGTCTCGATATATTCCTTGGGGTATTGCGAGAGATAAATTCTCGCAGGCGTTACACGAGAGAAATATTAATAAAAGCTTTTAAAAATGTAAGGATTGAGTGTTTTATGTATGCAAATATTCAAAATCCCGCGTGCACTCTTATCTACAGAACAGATGCATTCATGTCTCATTATTTTTTAGTCAATATATGAAGGAAGCCATCCGGACTGGGGAAACATTGGCTGAATCTTCCATAAGTGCACGAACATTCAGATATCAGGCGAGCGGAATAGAATGTAAAGATTATTGCGAGCGGATAATGAGACCATCCTACACCGAGGCTGTTATTCATCACAGGGACAAGCGTATCTTGAGAAAACTTAAATTCCTATGTATCATTAGTATCAACTTACAATTTATGTCCGTTTGCAATTTAATTCAAATAAAATATTTAAGTTGAATTTCATGCTTAAAAACGGTAGATTTTGGCGTGATGAATTCTATAAAGTCAAACATTATAGAGCCGCACGCTGGCAGCCGTCGACAATTAAACATAGCTGCAATGTTATGGTATCGCTTTCTTTATATTAGGATTGTCTTCTTTGACTCGTCAACTCTCATACCTATACTTTCCGATGATATTGAAGTCATTAATTTATTCGACCAGTGTCGTAAGATAAAATATGATATGTAAGCCTGTATTATAATTTACTATTGTGTTTACCAAATTAGATCAGAATAACTTAACATTGCATTTATGCACTAGTATGAAACGTTTAGACTTTAGATCGTCTTTGCGCATCCTTCGTCTTGTTAATATCAAGGTAGTCGAATATGAGAAGGGCTTCTGCAGTGGCCGTAGCAAAACAAATAATTCAAGAAATTGATCACAAGGAGGTTGCAGAAACAGTCGTACAGCCCAGCATTCAGTTGCCCAACTATCATTAGGGTGTTTCGAGATCCGATTGATCGGTTGTCAAAATATGGGAGGTTGGGTAGATTTAATATTGCTTCGATTTTCTTCATTTATACGTACAAAATTATCATGCTAGGGCGGTTCCTCTCAAACATTAGTGGTCGAGCGCAGCCTTTAGTATTGCATCACGCTCGGCTGCGACTTTATAAAAAAGCGCCAAATTATTTCGCTGGCTGTTGGAATGATGAGGGAAATCTTGACATTGAGCGTCACTTAAACTCGGAACAGTTAATGCCTGCAGACACTCCCAGAAGGACTACGCTAGTTGAATTGACGCTAAAACAACTACCCAATACGATGTTGGTATCGCGATGAAAAAAGGTTGAGAATTAAAATTGAAGCAACGCCATTCTTGAAACGTCGTGCTGACGTTAATATGCAACGTTCAATTAATGTTACTACTGCGATGTGGCTGTAACTTTGAATTATTTTCTCATACAATTATTATTACATTATTTTATTACATTATTATTATTATTCTTACATTATTTTCTCATACGCTCCTCAACCTGTGATTTTTAAATCAATCTGACATGAAATTCAACTATGAGCAGTAATTAATTCGCTAGCATGTCACCTTTTTCCTACTACTTGGCAAAAGACACAGAAATACCCAGGGAAAGTTTATTTAGATGCATACTTGAGACACTTGGAGGCCTGTTCGTTCAGCTTAACCGAGGTGGCTTCACGAAAATTCGCCAGGATGACTTCTAGAAGAAAAAATCTTTTGGATTCTGAAAAGGAGCCATAATTTTGGACACAATACATGTGATTCTGAAGGAGAACAATAAAAGCATGATTAAGCCGATCAAGAACGCTTATAGACAATTTTCAATAACCCTTTAATAAAAACGCAAGCATCTACATAACTACATGTGTTATAGTAACATGCTTGCGCTATTACTAGGTACGAATGACATGCTGGAGCTATAACTATGTACAAATTATATCTTAAAGCTCTAGCTAAAAGTTTGCGTGACGTCCGAGAAATATGAAGCTATAGGCCTAATGGTGACATGATAGAGCCATGAATGGGTATGTATATGGAAAACAATTCCTATATGACGTAGCCCTGGGCTATACCGTCGATGGTGGCGGGGCTTTGACCCAGGCCTCGGCCTACCCCCGGGGTAGTTCCTGGGTCTCCATACTGACTCGCCTGCTGAGCGGTGGTGATTACATCAAAGCCGTGAAGGTGAGGTGTAACCCACGCCATTATGCGGGCGCAGAGGTGGCGTCGTTGCCACATGTCTCAGGTCTACCCCGTAGAGCCTGGTCTCAGGGTGAGGCGTCACGATAACGTCTGTAAATTTATCTCAGGTCGGTTGCGACGAAGCTATACGGTAGTCCAGGAGCCCATGCTGCCCTACGAGGGTATCTTCCTCAAACCAGACATGGTTATCTGGAAGCCTGGAGAGTCCAGCGCCACTCTGCTTGATACACGGGTGGTGTCTGACAGCATTGGTTTGACTATGGTACATGCCCGGAAATGTTTGACTATGGCTCGTGTTCGGAAAGTTGCCAGGTAGACACCCTCCAGGTCAGGCAGGGCGTGTTTGGCATCACCGGCTCTTTGTCAATACAAATTTAAAAATCGGCCTCTGAAATGCAAAATCGAACGAAGCAATATCAAGTTTCATCGAGCTGAGTTCATTAGTTCGGGTGATAATCCTTGATCTCTGAATTTGGAAATTGGCCATGAGACCGGCCGCGAGTTCGGCAGTAGATTTGTCCGAGACCTTGATCTTTCGGGCAGCTTCTTTTTTAATTAAAGCATTTTCAGGTGCAGCCAAAATTTGTAGTGCAACTTTTGAACGTCCATGAAGCATACTAAGTTATTTCTTTTGAAACTTTCCATCGAATCCCTGAAATTAATGAACTGTTCAAACATCTTCAAGCCACAACCACCTATAGTAAGAAATTGCCAACTCTCGTACCACGCATTGCCTCCTTTACTTGCTGCCCATGGTGACGAGCATGCGTGCCTATAAATTTAGATTAATTCAGATTTGAACCGGCAGCCGAAGCAGTAGCGTACCTCCTATGCCTGCCTGCGACCTGATCGCTGGCCATGTAGCTTCGTAAACTTCAGGCTTCAAACGCAATTAGATTTCGCATAAATTCTGTTATCTAAAGTATTAAATTCGGGTTAGATTGGTAATGGCTGTGGTCTCTGTTGACGGCATCTATGACTATAAAACGAACCAGGTTATCCGAACTCAGCGGAACAGATTTAATAATGCCGAGTGGCCAGTTATTCCTCCAACACTTTTTATCCTTCAACAAAAAAACCTCGTTTAAATTTAAAGTGGCCTTCGCTGACGCCGTATCCGATGTTCTTGCAGGTTCTGAATGTAGTGGCCTGCCAGCGTCTCCGGAAATGGTCCGATAAATATTGGACTCTACGCCAACGAGAATTTCTGTGGGTCATTGCAGCTTTCGTATTGAATTTATCTATCTGGGGTGGATTCGGGTCGTCTTTCAGAGTAAGAAGCATGGCTGGAGTAATGGGTAGCGGACCCTGTGGGTCACACGACAACTCCCACATAGGAGTGTTTTTAACGAACGCAGTCGATTGTTGGAGTAGAAAATTCATCGCGACTTAGTCTTTTTGCCAAGTTGAAGAATTGTTGCATCCAATACCCTTCTTATCGCGCCTATCTTTCTCTCCAAAACGCCCCCGAAGTGACTGGCGTTTGGGCAATTTAAATGTCACTCCATGCAGGTCTCTGTAACAGTGTTCGGTTTGAATTTAGTTGAGAGAAATTGAAGATTCGGATTGGTTGCGGGAGCCAACTAAATTTGTACTATTGCTGTACCTGTGTTTGCACGTTCCCCTGATTGCAATGAAGCGCCATAATGAGTGTTTGAGGCTGTAAGTACGAAGATGGACGGCTCGTGAAGATGGACACAACATGAGTAGTGTCTATACTTTTTTCGTTGCGCTATTGCGTCGCGCGTTAGCGCTATCCAAGATGAGAAACAGGCCGAAGACGTCCAGCTGTATTCTAGACGAGTCTGTGGAAGGTTTGCCATAAGATGTTCTTGCGGTCGAGATTTGAGCGTTCTACACGTCACGTTCTGATTGATGACGCATCTGGTCAATTTTCAGGTGTATTGTCGACGTGGAAGCCTCTTTCCTGGGGGGCGCCTAACGTAAGGTGCCTTCCTTGGTGCTGAACTAATTTGTGTGCATGCATGTCTGATGATCAAGATATATATTCGATTAGTTACTGGCAAGATTACGGG